CTATACGGCTCCCCCCACCTGACTTTCTAATACGGTCACCACGTCCCACACGGTTGTTTACATTCTCTGTGAGCTCTGTGAGCACAGCATCTCTACATTATGTCTGGAAACTTTCCAAAATTTCAAGTGTTTTAAAGTTACAGTGGTCCCTCGCTTTTCGTAGTTCTCGGCAATCGTAAATTTCGCCAATCATAGGGGTATTTTCGTATAAACATGGACTCGCTTTTCATAGGTTGACTCGCGAATAGTAGTTCGTCCAGGACGCATACGCACGGTGTGAGCCGGGGCGGCCTCCCTACCCAGCCAGTCTGGCATTGTTTACGAGTGAGTGAAGGTCCCCTCAAGTGCTCCTATGAAATATTTCATAATATTCCACTCATTTTAGTGCTTGCAAGTACTAAATAAGCTACCATGGCTCCAAAGAAAGCCCCTAGTGTCAAGCCTGTGGTAAAGAAGGTGAAAAATATGTACAGTGACAAAGTCTTGGGCCATTTTAGGGAAGTGTTAAAGAGATGCCAGAAACAGAGCTCTCTCCACAGTTACTTTGTGAGACAGGACTAGAGTGACTCTCAAGGTGGTCCTAGTGGCATTAAAAACAGAGAAGAGAAGCAACCCCAGAGAAGCAATTGGTACCTGAGGTGTTGCTGGAAGGGGATTCCCCTTCCAAACTGTAAACAATCCAATCTCTCTCCTCCTCCAGTCTCCCATACACTAAGAAGAATCTCCAATAAAGGTAAGAGTTATGCTGTTAATGTTTCATTCATCATTTCCAATTGTACTGTTTATGTACTACATGTATATTTCATGTAAAAATTTTTTTGTTTTAATACTTCTGGGTGTCAGGAACGGATTAATTGTATTTACATTATTTCTTATGGGAAAATTGATTCGCAAATCGTAAATTTCGTTTATAGTAGCTCCTTCCAGGAACGGATTAATTACGAAAAACGAGGGACCACTGTATTTCATGTTTTATACTCTGATAATTATACTTATGTGTACCTGTACCTAAATAAACTTACACATTGTGCTGGTGTGCAAGTACACATTAAAATCACTAAAAGTGTCTTATTAGTCTTGAGGATGCCATATTAAACTTTTCACTGTCGAGACCTCTGATCACAAACCTGCTCTCAGTGTCGAAAAATATTAAAAAAAAAAAAAAAAAAAAATTTCCTTACCAAAATCTTAAGAATATTTTTCTGATTGTTTTAAAAGAAAAAAAAATTTGCGATCACTACTTACCAAGACATAGAGGCATGAAGATGACAGAAAGTAAACCACTTATGCCAACTTCAGCGACTGCCGCTCACTCGGTAATATTATTTTTATTTTTATTCTATTTTTTATTTTCGTTTCTAATACTATTTTGTTTTTTCAAGTAACTTTTGTAGCCTGTGAGACCAACATAATACATAAAATAAATAAATAAACACACACACACACACACACACACACACACACACACACACACACACACCACACACACATAGATTGTACAGGCAGGACATACCTAACAAGAATACGTGTGTAGGCAGATTTCTCACACAGTTTAAGACAGGTTGGAAAAGTCATGGAGCGGATGAGGGAGGCGCCACTAGTTAGCAACGGTATGAAAGACGGTCGGGGCAGGAGCTAGACTCGACCCTGCAACCACAAATAGGGGTACAAAGTGAGTCACCACACCCACACCTCAACACAACACACACACACACACACACATCCTGTGTCACAAACCTACTAGAGTTTTATGACAAGGTAACTGAAGTAAGAAATGAGAGGGAGGGGTGGGTTGATTGTATTTTCTTGGACTGCAAGAAGGCCTTCGACACAGTTCCTCACAAGAGATTAGTACAGAAGCTAGAGGAACAGGCACGTATAACAGGAAGGGCGCTGCAATGGATCAGAGAATACCTAACAGGGAGGCAACAGCGAGTCATGGTCCGTGATGAGGTATCACAGTGGGGGCCCGTGATGAGGTATCGAGCGGGGTCCCACAGGGGTCAGTCCTGGGACCAGTGCTATTCTTGGTATATGTGAACGACATGACGGAAGGGATAGACTCAGAAGTGTCCCTGTTTGCAGATGATGTGAAGTTAATGAGGAGAATTAAATCAGACGCGGACCAGACAGGTCTACAAAGAGACCTGGACAGGCTGGATGTGTGGTCCAGAAACTGGCTCCTAGAATTTAACCCCGCCAAATGCAAATTCATGAAGATCGGAGGAGGGCAAAGAAGACCGCAGACAGAGTATAGGCTAGGTGGCCAAAGGCTGCAAACCTCACTCAAGGAGAAAGACCTAGGAGTGAGTATAATACCGAGTACATCGCCAGAAGCACACATTAACCAGATAACCGCTGCAGCATATGTGCGCTTGGCAAACCTGAGAATAGCGTTCCGGTACCTCAGTAAGGAATCGTTCAAGACTTTATACACTGTGTACGTCAGGCCCATACTGGAGTACGTAGCACCAGTTTGGAACCCACACCTGGTCAAACACGTCAGTAAATTAGAGTAAGTGCAAAGGTTTGCAACAAGGCTAGTTCCAGAGCTAAGGGGAATGTCCTATGAAGAAAGGTTAAGGGAAATCAGTCTGACAACACTGGAGGACAGGAGGGCCAGGGGAGACATGATAATGGCATACAAAATACTGCGTGGAATAGACAAGGTGGACAGAGACAGGATGTTCCAGAGATGGGACACAGAAACAAGGGGTCACAATTAGAAGCTGAAGACTCAGATGAGTCAAAGGGATGTTAGGAAGTATTTCTTCAGTCACAGAGTAGTTAGGAAGTGGAATAGTCTGGCAAGCGATGTAGTGGAGGCAGGAACTATACATAGTTTTAAGACGAGGTATGATGAAGCTCATGGAGCAGGGGGAGAGAGGACCTAGTAGCGGTCGGTGAAGAGGCGGGGCCAGGAGCTGAGTCTCAACCTCTGCAACCACAATAGGCGAGTACAATTAGGCAAGTACACACACACACACACTTACTGTATGTTAGCCCAAAATTATAAGACACAATAACATGCCGGCTGCAACTAGAAAACGCGAGAATAAGCTAGAAAACTTTAAAAATGAGATAAAAGTGTAGAAAGCATTAAATATGATTTTTCCACAATTCAAAATACAGTGGACCCCTGGTTTTCGTCTGGTGAGGAAATCGTATTAGGATTTCGAGCACTTTTTTTGGCGAAATTTTCCCCCGGGTTTCGTACATTCGCTCAGAAATCGTCGGTACCAGACATGTGCACCTGGGCTGCTCATACATTCATGATTCACTCTTGGGCACGTTAAATGTCTTATTTTAGATTAATATAGACATTTTCATTAATCCATCTATGATATTTTCTTCAAAATCATATAAGAAACATGTTACGTAGCATATAAACATGCAATGTTTATATGAGATATATGTTTAATAATAATCACTCTTGGGCACAGGGTACATTAAATGTCTTATTTTAGGTTAATATTGACATTTTCATTAATCCATCTATGATATTTTCTTTAAAATTATAAAAGAAACACATTACATAGCATATAAACATGCAATGTTTATATGTTATCAAGGGGTGAGTCAGTGGAGGGAAAACATTACATTTTCTCTGATCCAGCATTAGAGAAAACTGTATGAATGCACGTATGGCCCAGTCACTCCCCCACTCCACTTTGTTTACAATCCTCAGCATGAATTATTCATTAATTCTCCCTTTGTTTATAAAGGCATCTTAAGTTAGTTGTCAGAAACAATTAAACTCTGTGAACATGGTATGTCGATGGTAATAATATGGCTGTGGGCCAGTAGGTATAGCCAAGGCAGACTACATCTGCGTGGGATGTAGTCCGCCTGGGACTACAAATAAATACTACTCACCTCTCGCCCTACATTAAGACTACAAATATTTTAAGGTAAGTAATGAATGTTCTGTGTATGTATTTTACTTTTTGTTTTTTAATGCCTAGTTCTATTACTCACTTAATGTAAGTTAATGTAAACTTGATAATCCTACACCTGTTGTGGAATCTATTGTGGCTTTGGGGAAGTCCATGGGGGCTGGATGTGAGTGGCCAGGATGTGGAAGAGTTGGTGGACAACCACAGGGAAGAGTTAACCACTGATGAGCTGCAACACTATAGTTATTCTCTATAAAATTTATTTTTTGTTAATATTTTTGGGTGTCTGAAACGGTTTAATTGGATTTACATTATTTCTTATGGGAAACATTACTTCGATTTTCATCCATTTCGAATTTCAGCTGACCATCTGGAACGGATTAAGGACGAAAACCAGGGGTCTACTGTATCTCTATTATCCTAACACCACATGGCTTTGAAAAAGCAATGGATGACATGTCCATGCACTCTGCCTCAGGCCCAGACTCATGGAACTCTGTGTTCATCAACATGCAAGAAGTCCCTAGTCCCAGTTGCCAGGAGGAAGAAAGATACAAGAATTACAACAAATAAGATAATAAAAAGGATACAGAAGAACAGATAGGGAAGATTTTCAAAACAAAGAACATGGAGATGATGATGCCACAGTTGTAAACTATGTTATGATGACATGTCAGTGCCAGACACATACAGACATGTGGTGTGTATGCCAGACACATACAGACATGTGGTGAGGGAGCCACAGACATACAGATATGTGGTGAGGGAGCCACAGACATGTGGTGAGGGAGCCACAGACAAGTGGTGAGGGAGCCACAGACATGTGGTGAGGGAGCCACACAGGTGAGTGTTAGACACATACAGACATGTGGTAAGAGTGCCACAGACAGACATATGTTACCAGAAACATTCACATAAAACATCACAAACCATTATCTCCCCTGAATAAAATTCTTGCAAATTTTGTCACTAATCTACTGTATGTTACTGTGTCACTAATCTACTGTATGTTACTGTGCCATTAATCTACTGTACGTTACTTCATCACTGGTCTACTCTACGGTACTCTGAAGACATTCTCATCAGTACCAGAGTAAGACTGACCTGCGGAGGGAAGAGATCAAGAGTACACTCGATGCATGGAGTAAGACCCGGCAGGATGACTCTTGCATTACCTTTGAAACCTTCTGTTCCTCCATCAACCAATGGAATTACAGAACTCTGCAAGAAGTAAATGATGCTTTACAATTTCAATTTACCCTAAGTATTTTATAACTTGTTTTCTGTCGATACTTCCCTCATAATACAGTAATATGATATTTTTCAAAAAGCACACACACACACAAAAGAAAAGGAAACACAGATGCCATCATTCATTCAATTCCTTTCTTACGAGAAACATGCTAATACCTGGAGAGGGTTTAAGGGGTCAACACCCCCATGACCCAGTCTGTGACCAGGCCTCATAAAATCACAATTCAGATGTCACTCTGAATTGCAACATCGTCCCTCCTTGAGAATGCAGGCACTGTACTTCCCGCCTTTAACACTAGAGTCCAGTCAACTGGTTTTCCCCGAATCATTCATAAATGTTACCTTGCATACACTCCAACAGCACATCAACCCTTATATAATAATGTAATAATAATAGTAATAATAACATTATTAGTGTTGTGTGACATGTCTCCCACCGAGGAAGGGTGACCTGAAAAAGAAGAAATGATTCTCTTTACATTTAGTAATTTATGCAGGAGAAGGGGTTACTAGCCCCTAGCTCCTGGCATTTTAGTCACTTCTTATGATATGAATGGTTTACAGAGGAAGAATTCTTCTCCACTTCTCCCATGGAGTATTATTATTATCATTACACAAGATGCTCCTGTATTTAGAGCAATTTTTTGTAAATGTGACTGAAAAAGCACATTATACAATTATTAATGTACTTTTTAACAGCATTTGTGAAAAAAATTCCATTATACAGAGCTTTAACCCTTAAATGGTCCAAACGTATATATACGTTTTTTCAACATCTGAAAGTATGTAAAAAAATGTAGATCTTTTTTGTGTTACATTTGAAAATGTGTAAAAAAACTTTTATCTACATTTTTTTGGTTACATTTGAAAATGTGCAAAAAAAGTAGATCTACTTTCGTAGCAATACGAATTTGAATGTCGATTTGTTTGGACTGTTTAAGGGTTAAGAAAAGTGACTGTCAAAAGTCAATAACTTACATGGTCTAGCATGCCATCTTCATAAGAGAGAAGAGAGAGCAACATGCCATTAATCCACCTTCGAGCAACAATGGAATCCAAGCCACTTACTACTAAGTGGAAACTGCGATAGAATTCATCATCAAAGTCTTGGATCTTGTTGTAGTAGCTGAGAATTTTGTTAAGGATGTTATACACTAGTGTAAGTAGTTTTTATGGCTGCCAAAAATAAAATCACAAATTTTAATTTCAACCTGCATAAATATTGGCTTTTAAAATAATTAAAAAAATATACAGTGCATAAGAACACTCTCAATAATAACCAACATGGAGACAGAAACACAGAAGGTTGATTGATCTGTATATTTTGATCCATTTTTGGGATCCTCCTCAACAGATACTAAAGAGGGTCCCAGAAGTGGGTCAAAATATACAAATCACCGAACCTCCCATGTTTCTGTCTCCATGTGGGTTATTATTGACAACTGACAAGTGTAAGTTACACTTAATTTTTTCAAGAACACTCTCCTATAAAGTTATTTGCTACTGTTATATTTTTCAAAAACAACTGAAAAATGTGCATCCAAAATTTAATAACATGTATTATGAAGTCTTTTTAACTGTAATTATGAAAAAAACTGCAACACACAGAAGAACTTTATAAGATAACTGACTGACTAACTATCCAATCTTTCAACATTTATGGGGTAGGATTCAGCCCAGGAATAGTGGAAGGAAGTACAGTGCCTGCACTCTGAAGGATGGGTGAGGATGTAGCAGATCTGGAGGCAGGAAGTACAGTGCCTGCACTCTGAAGGATGGGTGAGGATGTAGCAGATTGGAGCAGGAAGTAACAGTGCCTGCATCTGAAGGATGGGTGAGGATGTAGCAGTCCTGGAGGCAGGAAGTACAGTGCCTGCACTCTGAAGGATGGGTGAGGATGTAGCAGATCTGGAGGCAGGAAGTACAGTGCCTGCACTCTGAAGGATGGGTGAGGATGTAGCAGTCCTGGAGGCAGGAAGTACAGTGCCTGCACTCTGAAGGATGGGTGAGGATGTAGCAGTCCTGGAGGCAGGAAGTACAGTGCCTGCACTCTGAAGGATGGGTGAGGATGTAGCAGATCTGGAGGCAGGAAGTACAGTGCCTGCACTCTGAAGGATGGGTGAGGATGTAGCAGTCCTGGAGGCAGGAAGTACAGTGCCTGCACTCTGAAGGATGGGTGAGGATGTAGCAGTCCTGGAGGCAGGAAGTACAGTGCCTGCACTCTGAAGGATGGGTGAGGATGTAGCAGATATGGAGGCAGGAAGTACAGTGCCTGCACTCTGAAGGATGGGTGAGGATGTAGCAGTCCTGGAGGCAGGAAGTACAGTGCCTGCATTCTGAAGGATGGGTGAGGATGTAGCAGTCCTGGAGGCAGGAAGTACAGTGCCTGCACTCTGAAGGATGGGTGAGGATGTAGCAGATATGGAGGCAGGAAGTACAGTGCCTGCACTCTGAAGGATGGGTGAGGATGTAGCAGATCTGGAGGCAGGAAGTACAGCACCTGCACTATGAAGGATGGGTGAGGATGTTACAGTCCAGGAGGCAGGAAGTACAGTGCCTGCACTATGAAGGATGGGTGAGGATGTTACAGTCCAGGAGGCAGAAAGTACAGTGCCTGCACTATGAAGGATGGGTGAGGATGTTACAGTCCTGGAGGCAGGAAGTACAGTGCCTGCACTCTGAAGGATGGGTGAGGATGTAGCAGTCCTGGAGGCAGGAAGTACAGTGCCTGCACTCTGAAGGATGGGTGAGGATGTAGCAGTCCTGGAGGCAGGAAGTACAGTGCCTGCACTCTGAAGGATGGGTGAGGATGTAGCAGTCCTGGAGGCAGGAAGTACAGCACCTGCACTATGAAGGATGGGTGAGGATGTTACAGTCCTGGAGGCAGGAAGTACAGTGCCTGCACTATGAAGGATGGGTGAGGATGTTACAGTCCTGGAGGCAGAAAGTACAGTGTCTGCACTATGAAGGATGGGTGAGGATGTTACAGTCCTGGAGGCAGAAAGTACAGCACCTGCACTATGAAGGATGGGTGAGGATGTTACAGTCCTGGAGGCAGAAAGTACAGTGCCTGCACTATGAAGGATGGGTGAAGGTGTTACAGTCCTGGAGGCAGAAAGTACAGCACCTGCACTATGAAGGATGGGTGAGGATGTTACAGTCCTGGAGGCAGAAAGTACAGCACCTGCACTATGAAGGATGGGTGAGGATGTTACAGTCCTGGAGGCAGGAAGTACAGTGCCTGCACTATGAAGGATGGGTGAGGATGTTACAGTCCAGGAGGCAGAAAGTACAGTGCCTGCTCTATGAAGGATGGGTGAGGATGTTACAGTCCTGGAGGCAGAAAGTACAGTGCCTGCACTATGAAGGATGGGTGAGGATGTTACAGTCCAGGTGGCAGAAAGTACAGTGCCTGCACTACTTCTACACTGTACAAACAGTTTAAACATAAGTGTCATTAATTTCTACCTCTTAGAGAAAATGAGCAACAACTTTAGCTCAAAATTTAATTTGAGCTAACTTTGTGTTTTTGGTGTTCTTTGGTACAATCTCCATTTAGCCTCCATGGATAAGGGTCTTTGACTCCACAGATGCCTCAATACACCACTCATCTTTTTCCCTTTATTAATTCTATGGTTCACCTCTGTAAAATTTACACCTGGAAAATTTTGGAAGGACAAGGTCCAAACTTCTAGGTAGTAGGTTGGTAGACAGCAACTGCCCAGGGAGGTACTACTGTCATGTCAAGCGAGTGTAAAACGAATGCCTATAATTGTTTTACATGATGGTAGGATACTGGTGTCTTTTTTCCTGTCTCATAAACATGCAAGATTTCAGGTACATCTTGCTACTTCTACTTACACTTATGTCACACTACACATGCATGTACACGCATATATATACACACCCCTCTGGGCTTCCTTCTGTTTTCTTACTAGTTGTTCTTCTTGCTTATTTCCTCTTATCTCCATGAGGAAGTGGAAGAAAATTCTTTCTCCATGAACCATGCATGTTGTAAGAGGCAACTAACATCCCAGGAGCAAGGGGGTAGTAACCCTTTCTCCTGTATACATTACTAAAGTTAAAAAGAGAAGCTTTTGTTTTTATTATTAGGTCATCCTGCCTCGGTGGGATATGGCCGATTTGATGAAAAAAAAAAAAAAGGTCCAAATTGGCACCTTCAAATAACGCCCTTACAAAAGTAGGAGACGTGGCAGAGGGTACAAAAATGCCCAAAATAAAAATCATAAGCACATTCAAGAGGGAAAACCTCACTGAACAAAGAGAGTCCAAGAGATTTAACATCTTACTTTCACAGATAAAGAAAATTAAAAACAAACACAAACCACTTTCTAACTTCAGGAAAGAGCATGACAAGTTTCTTTGCAATATTTCTGGTAAGCCTGGCTGTGGTGTCTACATTGGAAAGAATTCACCAACTACCAACAACATAACTGACCAAGCATGGTTCAAGACTGAGCAGCAGGGAAGACAACCCTCAAAACTACCCACAGGTAGTTAACTCCTGCTGACTCAGTTCATCTAAAACTAAATAGGTACTTGAGTATTAGTCTCCTTACACCCACTGAACATGTTCACCCTGCAGTAAATAGGTATCTGACTGTTAGTCTATTTACACTTAGCTAACAACAGTAACAGCACTGACTAGTACTGAAGATAATACAGAGTGAGGCAGGGAAGGGGAGGTGATGCAGGTAACATCTCCAGTAGAAGTGCAACACTTGTTTCCAAGGACATCAATGACAACACAAACTCATCACTTCTCTGCTCCAACATTGAGATGATAATGACAACAATGACAAATGATGATGATGAATGATAAAAAAAAATAACAAAATAATTTATTTTCCAATAAGACATATTTATGCAAAGCCTTTTAGGAAGACTTAAGCTAAAAGTGAATACTCAGTAAGAGAAGCCTAAGGGCAGATATAACTGAACCTGTTCCCACTCATGGGAGCATTTAATGTGCAAAACCAATGCTCGTGTATCATTTACAAAAGCCTTGTGCCTGACAATGTTAAGGCTAAGCCAAGTTCACAGTTCATGTGGCAATCTAACAAGATGCACTGGTTGACTACTCAACAGAAGTAGTTAGAATGTAGTCTCTTGTTAGCTGATGCCTTAAGTGAGTGTAATGACATACTGAATAGTAATAAACGTTATTATGAACTTCATTTTTCTATATGCCTTCTTAGTGTTCGTCAACAAGTGTAGTTACACATGAGGTTTATTTAAGACACTAGAAATTAGATACTATTCTTGCTACTAAAGAAATTGTAGCAGCCGTTTTATAAGGGATACAAGAGTTCAATAATGCGCCCATAACTAGTGGGATAGAGGCACAGTGTCACATCTACCCAGGTCATTCACCATCTTTCACTAGTATAAGTTTTTTAATTGCTGAAATTCATGTATTTTAAAATATTTTATGAGGAGACAGCAGAGGTAAGGGAGAGAGTTAAATTTTGAGATGATTGGAATACAGTGGAACCTCGTTTTTTGGCCATAATCCGTTCCAGAAGGTCTGCCTAAATTCAAAACGGCCAAAATTCGAAGCAATATTTCCCATAAGAATTAATGCAAATGCAATTAATTCGTCCCAGACACCCAAAAATGTTCACAAAAAAATGCATTTTTTCAAGATTAATTATAATTTTACATACACAAAACATTGAGAACTAAATAAAATAAATTAAGAACATTTAAATCAATCACATACCTTTTTTGAAGACTGTTGTTGGCTCCTGGAAGACAGAGAGGAGTGAGGGAGGGCGGATTATTGTTTGGAAGGGGAATCCCCCTCCATAAGGACTTTAGGTAACAAGTCCCTCTCTGGAGTTACTTCTCTTCTTTGTCTTTTAATGTCACTAGGACCAACTTGAGAGTCACTGGACCCCTGTCACAAAAAATAACTGTCCAGAGTGCTCTGTTTCTGGCATCTCTTAAAGATTTCCCTAAAATGGGACAAAGTTTTGTCACTGAACATGTTGCAGATATGGCTTGTTTCAACTTGATCAGGGTAATATTTCTCCACAAAATTTTGCACCTCATTCCACTTTGCACAAATGTCCTTAATCACTGAAGAAGGCACATCCTTCCCTC